CATAATTATGTCTCTTTTCCACACTCAATAACATCATTTATTGGTTTTCCAGCCTAATTTCAGCCCCCTTTCAGGAGGACACACCCAGAGGCCTCCCCAGAACCCCTCCCATGTCACACAGACACCAAAAACCTTCATTTGTGCACTCCTGGCTTCACCCCCCATGCAGAATTCCACCTTCCCTCTGCTCCTGCAATCCAGTGACAGGAATATCAGGCTGCACTGGAGCTTTGCTGCTGCACTGACAGCAGGGGAGTTTGGCACCTTCGGGGAAGCTACAAAACATTTCACCTTTGGATAATAAAATCCCTCCCATCAAGAGTGAACCTTTAGCCCAAAAAAACATCAATACACATCACTGCAAATAAAAGCTACCTGTGACAATGCAGTGGCAATGCACTGTTATTATTAATATTAATATTAATATTAATCTATAATGTGCAAATCGTGGCTTTCCAGGCTTCCAGTGGTCCCAGTGTGTTGCCTGAGGATTCCCACTTGATTTATGTCAGGTTTTAAGGACACTAAAGTTTAAAACCCTTTATGAGGATACACATAGGAGAACAAATAAACCAAAAGCAGAGCCCAGGCTCTCCTGGATCCTGAAGGAAGGGGGTAAATCCACATGGAACTGGCTGAGCTTTCACCGGTGTCTCCCAGCAAAGGGGATCAACCCCAGCATTGCTAAACCTGGTTATTATTTTTTTTTTCCTTTTCTAAAAATAAGGGGAATCCCACCAATGGAAATCACAAATGTCAGTTCATCTTTCAGTCTACACAGAGGAAAAAAAAAAATCTTGTTGCAACAAAAGGGTGGATGAGCAATTAATGCCTCAAAGGGCAAAGAACCGCCGGGGTTTTTATTTGCAGAGGGTTCTTGCTCAACTGGCACAAATTTAGGCAAACTCTGTAAACTTCCAGACACTCATAAAAACTGAGAACACAGAATTCAAAGTCACAGGCAATGCTGCAGAGCCTCCAACAACACTGATCATCAGCTATTCCAGTTTTACTTCTTTTTCCACCCAGTCCCTGACTAGCCATAATTATTAAATATCCTCAGGACGTGCTGCAACTCTTTAAAAGAAAAATTCAATAAAGAGAAATCTCCCTAAAAAACAAACAAGGAACAAGGGCAATGACTCTGGTGTCAGAGTTCTCTGGGGCTGCACGTGGCAGGAGACCAGTCCAGGTGGTCCCAGTGGTCCCTTCTCACCTTCAAAGGCTCCAAAATGCTCTTTTTGACTGAGCAAATGGATTTCCACACCCAAACCACGGAATCCTTCAGGCTGGAAGGGGCCACAGGAAGTTATTTTGTCAACCTTTCTGCTCCTGGCAGGGTCAGCCTTGAGATCAGCCCCGAATTGCTCAGGGTTTTTCCACGCTCACCTTGAAAGCTTCCAAGGATGGAGACCGGGCAGTGTCAGCGGGAAAACCCTTCTGGCGCCTCACTGTTCTCATCCTGGCAAAGTTATTCCTTATTTCCACTCTCCTGGTTCAACACCCACAATCTCCCGCCCTCACACAATCAGCATTGTGAAGAACCAGCTTCCCAGGAATCCCCAGAGCTCTGGGAATGCTGCTGTTGGGCTTGATTTTACTCGTTCCTCCAGCCATTCCGGGGCCCTCTGGAGAACAGCTTTGCCCTCCAACTGCCCCCTAAATTTGGGATCACCTGAGTGGAAGTGCCTCTGCTCCACTTCCTGCTCCAGGACGTGGATAGAGCTGTTCCACTCCTGCAGAATCCCACTCCAGCAGCTCCAAGGAGAGTCTGACCCAGCGGCCACAACCCTCTGACCCTGCACGTCCAAGCAGGGTTTGCAACCCTGAGTTATCCCAACCTGGATCCAAGGATATTGGGAGAGCTGAGCACCTTGCTGAAGGGGAGGTAAAGGACACCTGGGCCTTCTCCTGACCCCCAAATCCACTCATTTTCCAGCCTGGTTGGGCTTCCCCCTCATGCTGGGCTTTGTTTTTACCCCAAAGCTCTGTTAGCAGCCAGCCCAGCCTCCCAATATATCCATTCACGTTCCTGAGGGCTGGAATGGACTGTTCTTCCACTTGGAAGAGGTTTGTCCTCGAGGATCTCATATCTTCCCTCAAATCTGCCTCTGATGTGACCCCACCAACCTGCTCTCTCTGGAAGTTTGCTCTCCCAAAGTTCAGTTAAATCCTGGTTGTCTCTCCAGTTCCAACCTAATTCTTCAAATCCTCATTCCTGGACATCCCAACGATCCTTCTGACCGAGCCAAGACACCCCAGGCCACAGAAATTCCACCAAAAGACATAAACCAACCCTCCCCCCCCCAAAAAAAGACATCAATCCCCCAAAAATCAAGTCATGAAAAAATGCAAAGGTCTAACCCAATTCCTCCACAATTACTCCACAATAATTAGAGTTTGTGACAAATCCTTGACTGATTTGTTCTCAAAATGACAAAAATAGCAAATACAGCTTAAAAAAGGGGGGAAAAAAAAAAGGAAGAAGAAATGCTTAAATTCTCAGGAGTCTCAGCACCTCAGCATCATCTGTTTCTACAAAGGGGGGAAAAAAGCTTGTCTGAGGTGCTGAGACTCCTGAGAATTTAAGCATTTCTTCTTCTTCCTTTTTTTTTTTGCCCCCCATAATAAACCATTAGTGGATTTTCCAATATCCACTAAGCAAAAATGAAGGAAAGCATTCCCTTTGTCTGCTCTGACTGAAGCTTTAGGGATAATACACACACCCAGCAAAAAAAACCAAACAATAAACCCAAAAAACAAACCCACCCTTGTTGTCTGACCAAATTACCTTCCATCAATATTGCTTTAGGAACTACAGGCAGACTGGAAAGATTTTACACTTGTTAAATATTTTAGTGCATTTAATCTCACTCAGAAGTCAGAAAAGTGATCCAGGCAAGGCTCAGATGCTTTAAGATGTTGTATTTAGATGTCAGGTGCCCATGTAAGTGGATGTAATTTCATTTTCTGACCCCCCAAGTGAAGTCAATAAATTCATCCTCATTGGCAAGCACCAAGATGCACGTTCTTCCATGTAACCTCATCCATTATTCCTCCATCAAAAGCTTCACTTGAGGAGAGGGCTGGCTTGAACAGCTCTAATGTTTCTCCCTCCAGAGACCTTTTTTTTATTCTTGTAAAGTGCTCTTGGTCTGCGATGTAAAAGAACTGCACCAAAACCACTCCTTCTTCGAGCAGAAATGCTCCAGAAGGTTTTCCGAGCCCAAGAACGCTCAAGGAATTCTCAGAATCACGGGATGGTTTGGGTTGGAAGGGACAACAAAGACCATCCAGTTCCAAACCCAACATCTCCCACTATCCCAGGGTGCTCCAACCAGGATTTGAGCACTTCCAGGGATCCAGGGGCAGCCACAGCTTCTCTGGGCAACCTGGGCCAGGGCCTCCCCACCCTCCCAGCCAGGAATTCCTTCCCAATATCCCAGCTAAACACATTCTCTGTCACTTTGAAGCCATTCCCCCTTGTCCTGTCCCTCCATCCCTTCTCCAAAGTCTCTCCCCACCTTTCTTGTAGACTCCCCTCAGGCACTGAAAGGCTGCAATGAGGTCACCCCAAAGCCTCTTTTCCAGGCTGAACAATCCCAATTCTCCCAGCCCTTCCTGACAGGAAAGATCCTTCACCCCCCTGATGTACTCAGTGACCTCCTCTGGACTTGCTCCAAGTCTTTCAATAAATAAAAATATCCAAAAGAATGAAAAAAGCCAAAGCCCCATTTCCCCCCACACAGTGAGAAACAAAAGGAAGGCTCGAGGTGGGATATTGGGAAGGAATTTTTGGCTGTGAGGGTGGGGAGGCCCTGGCACAGGCTGGGAATTAGCAAAGAATTCCTGGGCTGTCCCAGCCTTCACCTCCAGCCCCCAGGGCCCAAATTCCCAGGTGCTTGTTCACAAGATCATGTCCCTAACTCAGGTTTAAGGATGGAAAGGCAGCAAAGAGCACAGGGAAAGCAGGAAGGATGGACAACTGTTATTTTATATAAATCCTCTACCTAGAATAATTCAGCACCAGAGCAAAATAGAGGCAAAAAAAAAAGAGAAAGGTACTATTTAAAAACATTAAAAAAAGATTCCCTTTTTGGCTGGAATGAGATGATCCTGGAGGTCCCTCCCAACCCAAACCACTCTGGGGTGGTGTGACAGAGACACCCCACCACAGACACCTTCAATTAAGCACCAGGAAAACAACTTTATGCTTCAGAAGAAAGAAAGATGCTCCTTCTATTTACTCCAGTCCTGCTGCAAAGCTGCCACAGGGCTTGGTTTTAATCAGTGCTGAGTTCCCTGGGTTGGGTTGGGTTTTTTTTTTTAAGTATCAAGGCAAAAGGCCCCGAGGGAGTTTCCTGTTATCAGGAATATTTCTGGAGCACTGATAAGAGCCTTCCTTGGACTTTAGAGGTTCCCCAAATCTCCAGCTGCAATCTCTGCTCTTCATTTCCACTCCTGCAGCCTGTGCTGAAATATTTTAAATCAGAGCAGTGGCTGCCTGGCACAGACACTGTTTGATGCATCAGAACAGGCCTCAGTAATGAAATACAAGGAGCAAAGAAAGCCACCCATCTGTGTGTCACTTATTTCCACCCTTCCATAACAGGAAAACAGCACATTTTCCTTTTAATGTTTGCTGGAGTGTATTCCAGCAGAACTTCAGCAGAACAAAGCTCAGTGTTGATTAAAGAAGCGAGAATTTGCCCTTCAGAACTCAAGAATTATTCGGGTTTTTGCTTGTTCTGTGGTGTTTTTAACAAGGTTTTAATGACAATACTGTGGAAAACCAAGTCTGACGAGCAGATGTTTTGCACTTTAATGTCAGAAGAAAACCAAGAGGAACCTCAAACTCACGTAAAAACCCACAAAAATAAGTTAATGTCAAGAAGCTCATCTCTCCAAAAAGGGCAATGAGTTCATTACAGAGCTCTGAAGGGCAAATTTGGTTTTCCTTCCTTCCTCCCAGTTAAAAGCCCAAAAAAGCAGGAGCAAACCTGCACCTGAGGAGCGGGGGGATCTCCCAGAGGGTGAGGAGGGTTCCTTCATCCGATCGATGAGGCTGTCGGAGAGCTGGAAAACACAACACCACGCACGGTCAGGCTCCTTTGGATCCCATTTCCCAGGGAAATGAACTCAAACTCACAAAAAAAAGAGCCCAGAAAGCAAATAGAAAGAGTTGACAGCTGGTAAAATTCAATTCCCAGAGAAAGAGAAACTTTTTTTCCTGTCATTTGCGAGGTGAGAGCTCCAAAAAACTGCACCGAGCAGCAGGATGGTGGCTCTGGTGGAAATAGTGTGGAAAAAGGAAAGGGAAAAGGGGGAAAGGGGGAAAGGGGGAAAGGGGGAAAAGGGGAAAAGAAAGGGGAAAAGAAAGGGGAAAAGGGGAAAAGGGGAAAAGGGGAAAAG